AAAAGGCTATTTAATTGATTAAATATGAGCGCTGCAAGTTTCAAACTTTGTTTACTGCGGTTACCGGGGAAACGGCTATATTCCTGGTGAAAAGCGCCACCTGCTGGCAGAGAATGAATTTGCATTTTTCAATAAGCCCTTCTGCTCTTTGTGTAGACTAAAGCCAAAAACGACCCTTATTTTTATGCAGAAAACATGCAGTTGTAAATGTGAACTGGTGGATCGACAAGAAGATAATGAATTATAAAACTCTAAAGAATATAGCCTACACTAAGATATATTTATGTTACTAAATGAATATAATTGTTTGATAATAATTGTTTAAATTAATATAAAAATAAAATAAAATAATATATTATAATATAAAATTGTTACTTTTGACTCCGCCCCCCGATATAGTTTTAATAATAGCATTATTGTAGTATTAAAAATGTAATGAAATTTAATGCATTCATTTAATGAAAAATACAGTAGTATTTTAAAATAGTATTTCAATTCCAAAAAAAAATCCATTTTAAAATGTAATTTATTCCTGTGATGCAAAACTGAATTTTCAGCATCATTACTCCAGTCTTCAGTGTCACATGATCCTTCAGAAATCATTCTAATATACTGATCTGCTGCTTAAGAAACATTTTTTATTATTATCAATGTTAAAAACAGCTGTGCTGCTTATTTCTATGGAAACTGACACATTTTTATGATTATGTAATGAATGAAATGTTCAGAAGAACAGCATTTATTTGAATTATGAATCTTCTGTAACATTATAAATGTCTTTACTGTCACTTTTGACCAAATTAATTCATCCTTACTGAATAAAAGAAAAAAAAATCTTACTGACTCCAAACTTTTGAACAGTGGTGCATTTACTCATAATTATTCAAAAACAACAGAAATTGTACATTATCCATTGATAATCACGTAGAAGACTTAATTGCAACTAGTGCAGATAATCTTAAAAATATCTGCTGATTTATTAGCCTGGCTGAAATATCCACCTGTCATTAACTGAACTGAACTGTAATTTTCAGCTGGAGGCACAGAGAGCAGAAATTGAACGTTTGAAGCAAGAGCTAGCGTCCGAGAGGGCTGAAATATCCCAAGTCCATAATGCTTTGCAGAGCAAGGAGAAGGTAAGACCTCTGTCCATGTGCATAAATGGCTCCAGATTTCTAGATGAACAACTGAATGCATTAAAACATCCTAGTAGATACTGTAAAGTTTCTCTGATCTGTGTGTGTGTTCAGGCCGGAGACGAGTTGAGCAGTGTGTTGGTGGGTCTTCAGGCAGAAAAAGAGAAACTACTTCGTACAGTGAAAGGTCAGGAAGCTGAGATCACTAGCCTGCGTCAGGCCGCCCATCTCCACCAGACCATCCTACAGCAAGAGAGAGACCGACATCAGAGAGAGATGACAGCGCTGCAGAACCAGCTGCAGGAAAAAGTCAGTGCACCGTCCTAATCCTTCCTAATGCCAATTAATATGAACTTACATGCAGGTTTTTGCTGTCATAATTTTAAATTATGTATATATAAATACAAACACATGCATGTATATATAATATAAAATATAAGAATATAAATATATATACATATATTTTCAAAATATATACTGTTATGTGTGTGTATTTATATATTCATAATAAATATACACAGTACACATACACATGGATGCGATTAATAGTTTGACAGCACTAAATATAACATAATACTTGTCAAAAGCATAATTTATTCCTGTAATGGAAGGCTGAGTTTTCAGCATCATTAATCCAATCCTCAGTGTCACATGATCTTTTTTTTTTTTTGTCAAATTTTGACACATAACACAGCCTGGCAATTATATACTAAGAACAAAGGATGTGGAACAAAGGATCTCTTTGTCAAGACCTGCTTATGTTTGTCAGTTCACCTACGGTGTCTGGATCAGCACTACACCTTCAAAACGGTACATTCTTTGTGTTTGTATGTGTGTTTTAGACAGGAGACCAGCTGAGCAGTGTGTTAGTGGGTCTGCAGGCGGAGAAGGAGGTTCTTCTACGTTCAGTGAAAGAACAGGAGGCTGAGATCACTAACCTGCGTCAGGTCACCCAACTCCACCAGGCCACACTTCTGCAGGAGAGAGACAGGAGTCAGAGAGAGCTGGCAGTGCTGCAGAGCCAAATGCAGGCCAAGGTCAGAAAAGTTAGGGATTGTGGGCAAGATTTCTTCAAAAAATATTCATGCATACATAGTTTGAGGACTATGATTTGGGACGCTGATAGCTGACACAATACTGAAATATGATAATACAAAACAATAATAGCAAATATTAATATAATATTTTTGTTAATGTAATATTAGCAGTGTTGGGGAGTAACTAGTTACATGTAATGGAATTACGTAATTTAATTACAAAATAAATGTAACTAATCAGTTACAGTTACTGAGAAAAATGTGTAATTAAATTACAGTTACTTATGAAAATGTTAAAGATTAGAAAGGGGGTTACATCTGAATATTTTCACACACACACACAGATTTAATTGATTACAGATTTAATTGATTTCTTTCCCAAATTACACGGACTGCTCTAATATATCAGACACCAATGTT